AATGAAACATAGAATCATACACATGTTCTATAAATAGCATATGTAATGGAACGTTCTGTCCCGTGTTTGTGACGTCAAATGTGAAAATGACGTCATTAGGTAGATCACTTACGACAAAATATGGTTGACTTAATCTTGGTCGAGAAACGGTCGTAAAATTAAACTTACATTTGGAAATTCCTTTCAAAAAGGTAAGTATAATTTGTACATGGTTAATGAAAACAAAAGACTTTCCAGAAATTTTGTCTTTAATTGGATTGATTGTTAAAGTGAATTAAGGGAAATGTTTAAAACTGATGTTTGTTCTGTTGCCCTGTGAAAGCAAACCGGGGAAAAGACGTGTCATACTATTGCCGAGGTCAGGCTATTTCTGACAAATGGACCGTTTTTCTTGTAAAAAATAACTTCGTGATAAGAAATATAATAGTCGGGGAAAAAAATAAGCTTCTGTGACAGAACGCTAGGGAACATGTCATGTGACCGCCTATATCACGCTATCCGCGCATGGGCAGAATGGTTGCTGATACGCATAAAATCGAAGACGACTTCCATGAAACATTTTCAACAATGAACCCCTGTTTCATTTCATTTTTGGGAGTTTTTCAATTAGTTTGCGCACCTTTTTTATCACCATTTGTATTTTTGTATTCACATGAAACAAAGTTTGTGTAAAACTTATATATGAAAAGAAATAAACACTAGCTGTGGCCTTCAACTCGACATTCAGATGTATTGACGACGTACTGTCAATTAACAATGGTAGTAACCATTCTTATGTCAATATATGATATATCCTAGTGGGCTTGAGATTATGGAAACCACACAGTCTGACACATCTGTTTCATTATTGGACAATTTACTTGAAAAAGATGTTAATGGTAACTACCAAACTCTATGATAAACGTGATGGTTTTAACTTTTCTATCATCAACTTCCCTTACCTATGCAGCAATTTACTTTCATCACTTGCATACGGAGTTTATATACATGTATCTCAGTTGATTCGATACGCAAGATCATGCTCTACATATGCAAAATTTCACAAAATTGAGGTAAATTATTGACTAACAAGTTGATGAATCAAGAATTTCAGCTGCCGTCAGTTCTATGGTCGATACAATAACCTTGTCAGAAAACACAATTAATGACTGAGTCAGATATTGACTGGCTTTTTCATACTTATTGTTAGTCCATTATTTATACACTGAATGGACGACGGATTTTCCGGTTATTTCCCGATCATGACAAGGAACACACGGCGAGTGTGACCGGTCGACAGAGGATGGTCACTTCTCCATGGCACCTGATTCAACCTCTGGTGTTTCGAAGGCCAGGGTTTGCTCTGCTCCTATTTTGTATTGTTTTATGGACCTTTCTTCCTGAATACTCTTCGTTTTCTTCATATGGCAATGAATTATCAGATTTTTTTTTAAATTCTATTTTCAGATATTTCGAAAATAAGAATACTTTCCTCATTTTTTAATTGACAAGGTGGTTCAATTTTTATGACGAAATTTTTTTATGCTAGACATGCCATTTTTTTTTTTAGACTTTAAATATGCTCACAACTTGAGCCACTAGGTTGGTGGTGTGAAAGTATTCTTATATTGTGTGAAATAAAATCCAGGGGCCCGTTTTACAAAAAGAAACTTTCGACTAAGACCAAAAACTTAAGATGATTGTAAAGTTTTGCAAAATAATTCTCTGAGAAATACGTTGTGTTAAAACATCTTACCACATTCCTTTTAAAAGTTTTTAAATAGTTTTCAATAAAATGTTAATTTAAAAGTTATGTGAAGAATTAACGTTTGTCTTAAGTCGTAAGTCCTTTTGTAAAATGGGTACCAGTTTTTACTTAATTCAACAAATGATTTTTAGTGGCTGTTTGATAAAAGTGTTCGCACTAGTGCGTTTTTAGACGTTATGATAATTGGAAGTTCTTAAAAAAGGGATAATAAAATGTATTTAAAGAAAAAAAAGTAATGAAACACACGCTCTTGAAATTTTACATGTGTTTAAGGCATACAAATTTGAGAATATTTGGAGTTTTTAAATTATTACTTCATATAAATCCTTAGTGTCCTTCATATTTTGAAGTACTCTATAAAATAGAGAAAATCGTTAATTTTTGGCATTTCGACATGCCACATCTGGAAACAAGACGGAAACAATTTCTGTTTATTACATATAATGTACACTTTAGTTTTATTATTTCCGCACTTTCTAAAAAGAATTCGGGTATATTGTTGTATATACTTATGTCCGTTCGTCCGTCCTTCTGTCACCCTTTTCTTCCCTGAACTCCTCTTACATTTAACACAGTAGCCTAATCATCTTTTAAGAGATGGTTGATTGTGTCGTGTAGATGTGCAGTAAGGTTTCAGAATTTTATTTTGCCCCGGGGAGGTGGGGGGTCAAATGTGGGTCGAAAAATTATGATTTGTAATGCTAAAAGCCCCGTCTCCCTGAACTCCTCTTACATTTTACACCGTAGCCTAATCATCTTTTGAGACATGGGTTATTGTGTCGTGTAGATGTGCAGTAAAGTTTTGGAATTTTATTTTGCCAAAATTTGTTTAAAATAAATAACACCAGAACTGCAGTTTCAAAAGTCCGGGAAGAAAAATAATAATAATAATAAAACATAAGCATTTCAAGAGGACTTTCCACCTTTATGTAAAAATTAAGTAGAGAGAAAAGTCGACACTGACCATGTTTACGCCGATCGATTGATAGCACCACCTTATTATTAATTACGTGACCTAAAAGCCCTCTCCGGGTACCTGTCAAATTGTGGACGGTGACACTAATGTATCATTACTTTAGTTTTGATTCAAGACAACAATGCATTGCTTTTGTACTAATGTTATACCAAATATACAGTCATGTAACTACGTATATGTAGCTTTACGTATAGCTGATAAAATATGTTTGATTCCCTCCTTTTACAACTTGATACACTACTCACAAAAAGATCCAGAATAGGACGAAAAGTCCTACATTCTTTTCCAGGAAAATATTCTAACAAATCTATTGAGTATTCCTATCATTTGAAAGGTTTTACATTTCATTAAAATCAAAATTATGTTTACTTACTGATATTGATTTTATTCCTTTTTGCCAATATCTTTGATAAGTACGAACAAGTATAAAAGTTAATCCGAAACAAATGTACTTAGTTCTTTAAACGAACTGTTCTTTTATAGAAAGAACTGCGCCCTCTCCAAACACTTTGCATACTATCAGCTTTTAATGGAAGTTCATTGCACCTGTTATTAGAAATATGTTTAGTTTGCGCATTTGCTTAGGAAACCATTTTTGAGAATTAAATATTTTGAAGTAACTTCTACATGAATTTCATTTAAAATATTCACCCGAAAATGTAGGAATAATTCACAACATTTCAACCCCCGAACTGTAATTTTCAGAGTCACATCTTTAAAATGTACATTTCTCTGTCATTCTTGGATTTTGTTACGCGTTCCATTCGCGATGCTACATAATTACCGTCTCTCAAATGGCGAATAGATTTTCATGGGTTAAGAATACAATAACATCAGCAACTTTAAATTATTGACGACAATGATAAGACGAAGTATCAAAGACAGTAATACCTTATCATACCTAAACACCATTAATATACATACACAGGCTCTATGCTTGTGTTTGTAACATAATATTTTATTTGTTTTTCATAGTTAGAAACACATTTAAAGTTATTTTTGATGTATGGCAGATTTTGGCCACAATGGTCACATAAATGTATTTCAACATCAACTTTGGGGTCGGCAGACAACAGGGCTCACCCTCTGCAACAACATTTTATGTGTCGTCCGAAACGGCAAGTAGCAATATGCTGGGTTAGGGTTTATCACAATCATGCTACCGACACAACACTTAATTTAATATACGTCTCTAAATTTAAATTGGCTTTATTTGAAAATATGAAATCAACGTAACAACTGTCTACATCATATTTCACGACCAGTTTGAATGTGGCGATATGGCTTCACCACAATTCAATTGATACCACTGTGATGAGATGTAGGTCTAAGGATTCTTGTGTCTATTTCCACAACCAACTAAAAGGTGACAATATTGCTTCACGTTGACTATTAACATAATACCGGCCACGCTGACGAGATGTGCGTCTAATGATTCCGCTGTCTGTAGATAACTAAAGATTGCTGTGTCTATAGACAAGTAATTTTATCTAAAAGTACAAAATTTAAACGGCAGAAACACTAAACAAGTCAAATAAAAGTATCATAGGAATTTGTTTAGGAGGGTATAATAATAATTCTATCTCTGAATTTCTAAATCATCTGCTTGGCATTGATAAAAAAAGGAAGTGTGGATATAGTAAGATCAGAGTTGTATGCAGGACTTTTGAAAACTTCAGGTCACATTTCCCGGATACTCAACTCAACATAATAGTTAACCTAATATTGAACAATTATTTTAAATCAACAACATACATATATTACCATCAATATTGGCTTCAAACAATATATACATACGAAACTCTCTCATTGGGTCCTGTTGATATTCTCCCAAATTTCTATTCCATGTATATTTCAAGTGAATGAAAGCTATGTAAAATTCCAACGCTTATTGTGTAACGTGGAGAATGTCAAGTCTTATTGAAAGTCCAAGGATTACAGAGAATTGTACTTAAGATTAGCTAGTAGCAATACCAGGAAGTCTATTGTTTTAAGTTTATTTCAACTCTCCATCGTCGTCTCGTCCGTAATCAGACAGAAACTTTGCCTTTGCTTCAAAAAGAAGACTATAATAATTTTCATTTCCCTTTTTCGAACCCCTCTGCTCTTTTAAATGCCCATTGAAATTCATTGAACCATCTCATTATCGTCTACAACTAGTATCTTATTTTCTTTTGAAATTTCTTCAACACTTATATCACAGCCGGGTTTATGAACCGTTAATCAGGCGCACATTAGAGCACAGTTATATGTGCAGGTGAACATGTGCAGGTGGACACGTTATGAAATCCATCCTGTAGAACAAAACTGCAATGACTTTCAATGAGTATTTATAAAGCGGCTTCAAATCATTGCTATACACCGAAGGGGATTTTGAAAAATTTAAGGTTTGTAATTTATCTTAATCTTTATAAAGTAGATGAAACTGCTAATGTAATGGACTAGAAGAAGAATGCATCACATAGGCATTAATTCAAGTGTTAGCATACAAGTTTATTATTTAGGGCAAGATACGATGTAATTTTATCTTTTGAAGGGCGTATCATGACCATTATCATTAGGATACTATCAGGTCCAGTCAAAAGACTATTTCTACCTACGTAGGTATTAATAGCTACCTGGGTATTTAAAGCTACCCAAAGTAGCTATTTTTACCTACTTTCTGCTTTACTTGCATGTTGTGGCCAAATGCAGGAACGGCGCAACATGGTGAGCACATAATGTCTTGATACAGTCACACTGAAATGAATATGATAAAAATTTGGCCAAAAAAAATGATTACTTCGTATATTTCTAATTTTGCAAGGAAACTAATGTAAAATTGCCGATTCGGAAAGTAATCATTTTTTGGCCAAAATTTTGTCGTATTCATCATTAGCGTGACCGTATCAAAAAATATGGTATTCATCATGTTCCGCCATTTAGTCTTTTGGTTGCAAAATGCAGAAATTATATAAAGTAGGTATTAATAGCTACGTAGGTAGAAATAGTGTTTGGACTGGACCTGACTATATGGAAACGAAATGAAGAAAATTAGATTGTATCAGAAAAGGTTGACAATGTTGATAAGTCGGAAAAAGCTTACAAATAAAAATCAAATCCGAGTATGTAATGTGAAAAGTAACAATATTACATATTTAAAATGCATTTCAAAGCCTATGAAAACAAAACTGCGTTCGTGTTTTCTTTTGTAGTTGTCCGGTAAAATCGTGGACAAAGCGTTTTTCTCAGAAAAAAAATAGGTGCACTAAGCTGAAATTTTCAGCAAATTTTTATTTATCATATTTAAAAGTACCTTAGTTTTGTAGATGAAATAAAGACAAACTAAGATTTTGTTCTGCTAAAATGTCCACAGGGCAAGGTCCTATGGCACACGATCAAAAAATCAGGGTTTCATCGGATAATTCACGAGTACAATATCGAAATAAAAGTATAATAAAGAGATAAGTTTGAAGTATTAAAAAATATCCAATTTTTAATCTTATTAAAAATTTTATCTTTTTCTTTAGAATTTCAAGGGCATTTGCCTAAGTTTTGCCTAACAAAATTAATGTGATTAGGGGATTTTCAAAACTCTGTTAAAAAATACCTCAAAAACTAAAAGAAGATCCCTCACTCACACCAAGTTAAGAAGATTACGAAAAATGCAAAATAAAATTCAAGCCTATTGAAGATTATTTTGACCCATCGTATACTAGTATTGTTTATTATTTCTTATTCCACGCTACATCTCACCATGTTATCTCTTATATAGTACCTAATTTAAATGACTCCGCCCATTTGAATGTAATAAAGAAACCGCACTCTGTTCGAAAGAAAATATTCCGGAATTTGTATGTGCGGTAGGTGTTGAAAATTGGCTTATATTTCTTAAAACTCAAAATCATTTATAATGATTCTACAACATTTCAATTAGAAATAAATAATATCATATCCTCAAGTATAGTTTGTAAAATAAGGGCGAAAAAAGTGACCAAGCTACTATACTTAAGTGGAAAACTCCTTTCTTGAGCATTCGAAATAGGAAAAAAAATACAACACACGCAAATGGCGTTCTTTTCTGTATTAAACTTAAATCTTATTTGTAAACAGCTAAAGAGACCACTTGAAGGCATGATATGCATGCATACCACAACACTCAGCTGGCTAAGGATCTTTATTAGCTTTGCAGCGAATTGACTTGCCACCCTTATAGCGCCCTCTTTCGTCCTAATATGCAACCTTGCATAATTTACAAATCACGACATACATTTTATAAGTTGACAAATCGCAAGTCTACTAATAACACGTAATTTGCATTTACATTTTTTCACTTTTCAATTTATGCTGGATAATTTACAATTAACAAATTGTAAAATACCATTTGACAAATTATGAAATTAAGATTTACAATAAACAAATTCAGATTTACGAGTGTACATTTTTAGAATTAAAGAGATGGAATTATGAACCCGTTGGCTTTCCATAGTAATAGAACTTTATAATTGTCTATTTTCATTATTTAATCAATTATTCAATCGTTTAAAAAAATTGTGACAAAAGCAATTACTCCTTCTCAGTTAACTACATTCTGACATTTTCTTTATTGCACTTTTAAAGAAAAAAAAATTTCCTCGATATTCATAGCATCTATTTTGGAAGTCTACGAGGGTTGTCCCAAAATTTCGTAGACTGGGGTCATATCTTTTAAAGAAATTAATGTATCTTTATAAAATTTTCAGGGTGGATAAGGCTAGTTATTGGTAGATAAATTACGAAGTTTTATCATGTTTACTTGAAAACTTTTCGAGTTATATGATTTAAAGTGGTATCGTTCTCTTACACCCGGAGCAATCTGCAACGTCAAAAAATACAAATGTCAACGGTTCAAATTTTGGAGAAAATATTTCAATAATCAGAATCAAATTCTTAAATTAAACGAAACAGCTATAATTATAAATGTAAAAAAATCTTAATTACTATGATATGATCAAACATTTAAAAATGTAAACAAAGTATATGCATGTACAGGTATGAAATAATTATTATTTGAAAACGCTATATTTCTACGGGCTTTTCGTCTGTTTTCTCTTCTGGAGTTGCACAACGGACCTCTTTCCCATTTCTTAGTCCTGTCTTTTATTTAAGTTACTGTTATTCACATATACATAGAGAAACCGTTTTAGTCATTTTAAATACTAAGGACAAGAATAGGTTCCTAGTCTACCAAATATTTATGACTGGGACACTTTTGGAAGAGTTAATTTAGGTTCAAAATACTTGAACATACTTCAGTGCGCCGCCTGTGCAAACGCAGCCGCCATTTTTCAAAAAGTTGGATTTCAACCCAATGTTTATAAAACGTTATAAATTTCATCTTTATCAAGGCACGAACACCAAAATTTGAAGAAATATAGTTAATAAAAAAAAATTGAGAATTTTCACTTCCATTCAAAAATCACAAGGTAGTAATCACTTTTCCGTACGATTTTAAATATAATATACCAAATTTTAATAGCAACTTTTGGGTATTGCGCCGCCTTCCTACATCAGACAATGAAATTTGTCTTTTAAATTGGAATAATTTGCTTAGTTACTCCATATTTGTCCATAAATTTATTAGATAGTGTTGGTTTAATCTATATACGAAATTTCATTAATGTATGACTTAGGGTTCCTACAAAACAACGCTTGTCTACGGAATTTTGGGACAACCCTCGTAAGTATCAGAATTATGCATTTGAACCGGATTTTACATACATGTAATATTTACAATATTATTTTCAAAAAATATATACGATTTTTTCATGATGTCATACACTATATACAGTTTATTTATGTCTCCTGCCTTATATAAAATGGCGACCTAGAAATATTTTGCGATAATTCGTAAATTTAAACTATAATAAATGAAAATAAATACAATTTTTGTACTTTGATGCATTAAAATTGTTAAGGTGAAAAAACATTATCAATCCAATTCTTTTTTTTTCAACTAATTTCTTTATTATTTGAATTATCATCTAAAATTATCAAATAATAGATAACCACAGCATGCTAAGCTATATGTTGAAGTTGAGATCCTTTGATTTTCATGAATATCTAAGGAAATCACTGATAGGTACACACTTTAAAGCTCTTGTTAACACCGATCACAGGTTTGTTCAGAGTCGAGTTTTATATATAATGTGTATATCATATGTCTTAAGGATTAGTCAAATATCTTTGTTAAATAACCTTGTGATTTATGTTTCTAATTAAAGTATTGTGATTTTGAACCTCTTTTCTGTCTTCATTTACATGCGATTAACCTCCTTATGACCTGTTTAAAATCATAACAAGCCACGTGGATTTGTGTCGGTATGGGTAAATGCCCGCAGTATATCAGTGCTTGCTAGCTTTAAGTTGAAACGTACTCAGTTTCATATCGGTCATCATGGACTTGTTTTGTTAATCTTGTTATATTGCTTACCTTTCGCAAATTGTATTTGTAGTTGATGGTGAATCTTCAACATTTTATTCGTCTTTGAGAGGAAAATATTACATTGCAAGAATATTTTTTATTGTATCTAATCTAAATGTATCCGCTCATTTCCATGTACATGTATAAGAGAAATCATAGTCTGATTTTTGGAAAATGATCCGGCGTTTTTCAGTGCGATAAGTGTTTAAAATTGGCTTGTAATTTTTCATATATTTAATTATCTATTATAAATACACAATGCTTTAGTTAGAAATATTTAGTTGTACACAATGAAATCAAACAAAATACCCTTTCATAATATTTAACCAGTAAACCGAGGTGTAAAAAGGGATCAGCCTACTATACTTCAGTAAAATATTCCTGTAGGAATTTTTATCATAAAGATTGACTGTTAGATTCCTATTGTTGTCATTTTCAAATATTTACATTTGCAAATGTTTTCCTTTATAGAACACTACTGAAGACAAGCGTTTTAATACAGGTACGGGGTCAAGAGGTTATAGATGTGCGTTTAGATAAACGTTCGACGTAATTTCTCTGTGACGTCATAAAGGGTCGACGCGCGTTTAGTGGATTACATACATGCCGTTGGGTTTGAAAAATTAACGCATTTCACACGTTAAAAGTAACAATCAGGCAAATATAAAGTATGAATAAGTCACAAATGTAAATATAAGTAATAAGGTATCATTTCTTGAGTTTTATTGAGATGTAAAACGGGTTGGCACATAATCAAATCTTCCATAAAGCCCTTTGGGATTAATGGGAGTTGATCACGTAACCAACTCGTTTTACATCTCAATAAAATTCAAAAAATGATACCTTATTTCTTAAATAAAATATCCAATTATAGGACAGATGTGTCAGACTCTGTAACATCTTTTACTTTAAGGTCTACCGTTTGCATGTACAGTGTATATCGAT